GGGTTTGAACCACTGACCTTATGTTTAGCAGTCCAGTGCTTATTCTACAGTGTTGCACCAGGACCCCATTCTTCAATGCATGTTGTTAAGCGCCACACCAGGACCTCCTTTAATGTACAAGGTTGAGTCAAAAATTATCCACACAATGGCTGCATAATTTACTTGAATCAACTTTTAGAAAAGAGAATTATATCATTTTTCAGAATTCTCACCTTGCTTTTCCGTACACTTTGTCCATCTGTCAACAAGCTTTTGTAGTCCTTTATTTAAAAAATGTTTCAGGCTGAGCTGCAAGCAACAAATGCACCACTGTCTTCACTTCTTCATCAGAGGTGAATCTTCATCCTCGAAGGGCTACTTTCAGGGGACCAACCAGATCAAAGTCCGATGGAGCAAGATCGGGACTACAGGGAGGATGCTTTAGCATCTGAAAATGAAGTTTTTGCAGAGTGTCAACAGTGTGGACAGAGATGTGCAGACGATGACCACGTCCTTGGCTAGCAACCTCTGTGAAATCTGAAGTTTAGGCTTCGGCTCTTCAGTGAGCATCTCACTGTAACAAGCCCTGTTGATTGTTGAACCTTCTCCCTTACAGTGTTCCAATACTGGCCCTTAAGAGTCCCAGAAAATGGCCAGCATCAATTTTCCAGCCGATGGTTGGCTTTGGAACTGCTTTTGGCCAACGATGGAGGATGTTTCCAGTCCGTACTGTGCCATTTACTCTCAGGCTCGTAGTGATGAATCGTGTGTTGTATCACCAGTAAGGATTTTTTTTTTAAAAGAAACTTTTACCTTCCTTGGAGTATCAGGCCAAATTTGGTTTACAGATGCCCAAACGTTTCTGTGTCTGTTCATTCTTCAGTTGTGTCAGTATCCATCTCACACAAACTTTTTGAAACCCAATTCTGTCGTAGATTATTTCATAGGCAGAGCCATGGCTGACCTGCACATGATTTACCACAGAATTCACTGCCACTGTCGATTCGACAGAATCAGTTCATATTCGATGTTGTCATCAGCCATGATGGGGCATTCTACGAAAACCGCAGTGCGGATAAGTTTTGACTCACCCTTGTATGTTAACTGCAGTACAGGGTTTCTGAGAGCGGCTGGTGGCTTTGAACTGTCAACCTTGTGGTTACCAGTATAGCACTGCATTGTTGTGGTTGCTGTAGGGTACCACTCAGTCGGTTCCAACTCATAGTATGGGGTTTCCGAGGGGTAGTTGGTGGGTTTGAACCTCCGACCTTATGGTTAGCAATCCAGTGCTTATCCTACCTTTAATGCATAATAGTGGTGGTATGCTGTGGAGTCAGTTTAAGATAGGGCTATAAATCTTTATGGGAGCAGAAAGCCTCATCTTTTCCCATGGAGTAGCTGGTAGATTTGAACTACTGACCTCGCAGTAAGCAGTCTAGCTCATAATCCAGGGTTCCTTCCTTTAACACATGTTGTTAGATGCCAATGAGTTTGTACCAACTCATAGTGACCCTGTGCACAACAGACCGAAACACTGCCCAGTCCCACAGCAACCTCACAATCGTTCCTAGATTTGAGCATACTGCTGTTGTTAAGAGCTGTCAAGTCGGTTGGTTCCAACCCATAGCAACCTTGTATAGTGTTTCCAACGATCGGCTGGTGGGTTTGAACCACTGCTCTTGCAACTCAAACTGACCTTGCAGTCCAGCGCATTATCCAGCAGCACCACATCAAGACTCCATATTTGAGCATGTTGTTGTTGTTAAGTGCCATCATGTCAGTTCCACCCCACAGTGACCCTGTATCGGTTTCCGAGGAGAGGCTAGTGAGCTTGAATAATGCAGGCCAGCACATTAACCCACAGGGAAACACCAGGATTCCATTATTTGAATCCTACTGTGATTCCCCAGATCACTTTCTGTGCCCTTTGAGAAAAGCCAGATTTTCCCATTTGAGAACAGAACAGATGGAACATTACAGCTGGAAGAGACCACAGAGTGAGGGTCATCAGGCAGTTAGGCCAGTCAATTTTCACAAAGAGGCTTTCTGCACTCTCATCTAGTTCAATGCCTTTCAAACTTCCTTGTCCACATTCCACAGTGAGAAACACATTTCATCCAACATTTCATTTTGCAAACTTTTGAAAATATTGAAACATTGAAAGAATTTTACGACGAGCACTCACATACATGCCAGCCATACATATGTTATAATTAATGCTTTACTACACTGGCTTTAGAGTTCTGGTGTGGCACTGTAGGATGACCACTTGACCTCCAAGGTCAGTTTGAACAGCAGGTCACTGGTTCAAACTCACCAGCTGCTCCCTAGAAATGCAAGGTCACTATGAGTTGACTCCAGAGCACCTAACACTTGCGATACCACGTATCTGTCATATCCTTCAGTCCATCCATCGTAATCTCTGAATGTATCTCTGATGTGTGTGCACTGCTCACCCTTGAACCCCATCTGCCTGCGTGCCATTGGCTACCATTCAGCATTTGTTTATAAGCTTTTTAGATAAATTTACATACAGTGCAATGCACACCTCGTAAACATCCCTCTCTGTAACCTTTGATAAAGGTTCATTCACACCTGTGCAATACAGACTCCTGCTAAAATCAAGACCATTTATAGAATATTCCCTAAAGGTCCTTCCCAGGCAAATCCTGATCTGAGGCCCCAAAGGCAACTACAGCTTTGATTAAGAGATAGCATTTAATACTGTAGCCTAAAGCACAGACACCAACACAAAACTCTAACAATATGTAGGCTTAAAGTGAGGTCTCCTTCCTCTATACTGATATTTTGGACCCACTAAAAATTTGCTGAAGTCCTGGTATGGCATTACAGGTTATGTGCTGTGCTCAAGGTCGGTTTGAACCACAAGGTCGGTGGTTCAAACCACCAGCTGCTCCTTGGAAACCCTATACAGGATCACTATGAGCTGGAACCAACTTGGTGGCACTTAGCAATGACAACAGTAACTTGCTAGGATTGCTACTGTAGCACTGTAGGATCAACCCTGGACTGTGAGCCACAAGGTCGGCTGTTCAAACCCACCAGCTGGAGAAAGATGAGGCTTTCTGCTCCTGTAAAGATTTACAGCCTCGGAAACCCTGTACAGGATCACCGTGAGTCGGAACCGACTCCACCGCACACCACCACCAATTGCTCCGCAGGAAAAAGATCAGGCTTTCTGATCCCATAAAGACTTAGTCAGTAAAACCCCTTATAGGGCTGCTGAGTCAGAATTGACATCACTACAGTGGTTTTGTTTTTTGTTTTAAATACCTTGCTATGGAAACCTGGTGGCAAGGTGGGAGGTTTAAATTTATCCGCTGCTCCAAGGGAGGAAGACAAGGCTGTCTCCTTCTAAAAAGTTTAGAGTCTTTGAAACTCCTATAGGGACACCAGGAGCCTAAAGAGACTGCATGGCAGTGCTTTGCTGTGGTTTTTTAAAATAACTTGCCACCTGCTGTTTGGACTCCTGGTGTAGGATAAGCACTGGACTGCTAACCACAAAGTTGGAGTTCAAACCCACCTGCTGCTTCTGACAGGATTGCTGACTCAGAACTGCCTCATGCCACTTAACAACAACAACCTGCTGTTTACAAACCACAGGTCTAGTTGGCCATCCCATTCTTACAGACTGAGCAAGGGAGGCCCGGATCACTCAATGCCCCCTCCCAATGCATCATCCCAACTTTCTCACTCTACCATGCCACTTACGTCTCCATTATTTCAATTCTTTAAATAAACACGTTCATGTTTTTAGAATGTATTTAGAAACTTAGAAACATCAAAGCCCTTCCTGGTCCTCCCTCCTTCCAAAGGCAGCAGTGTGCCCCTTACAGATCTCAGAACTCCCCAGCAAGGACACGCCTGACCGCATTTTCCTGTAGTGGGAAATCTTACCTGGTCCGGAAGAAGTTCTGTCACCAGCTTCTCATGTATTCTAAGCTTGGTGTCTATTTTCAGAGAATGAAAGTCGAACATTCTAAGAACTAGTGCTTCATCTTAACCGGGTTGCAGGAAGCCCTTCCTTCCTTTTTTTAAATAGTTCTGTTGAGATATCATTTACATCCTTGAAGTTCACCCTTTTCAATTGTAGATGCAGTGGTTTTAGTAACCTATCACAATAAACTGGGAGGTCAGTAGCTTTGTACTGTGAACCACAGGGACCGTGGTTTGAGCCCACTGGTCACTCCATAGTGAAAAAGCTGAGGCTTTCTGCTCCCGCAAAACTTTACAGCCTGGAAAACCCGATATATAGGGTCGTTATCAGCACTTAGCAAGAACACATTATCTAATTCCCAAACATCCATCACTCTCATGGTAGTCCTTTCGGATACTTGCTCCCTGACTTCCCTGCTGCGGACTTTGAAGTTACCCAGTCCTTGTGCCTCAGTTTATTTCTACAGTGAAGATGCACACATCATTATAAACCGTAAGGATGAGTTTGGAGTTGTCCTCACCCCTCTGTGCACGTGGGATGTCTAGGGTCTTGAACCCCATGAGGTCCCTGCACCCCAGAGTTCCCATATCCTTTCCCGAAGTCCCTGCCTCCCACGAGGTCCCTGCACACCATCGATCCTCTCAGGTTAGTGCGCGCCCAGGGAATGCGTTCGTGCCACCGCGGAGCTGGATTGTAAACACTACGATCTGCGTACTTTACTGTTTTGCTTGGATTGCATTTGGTTCTGAAATGCTAGCGTACAATTCAGGAGTGCTGTAAAGTGCAAAACACACGTCAGGCTTGAAAAAAACCGCACAAAAGCTCAATGCCACCAGCACATACACGCTCTCTGACCTGAGTTGACCTCATTTCTCCCGCCTCTGCCCGGTGCTGCGACGCGCATGCGTCCCGGCGCGCCTACGCCCAAAGCACCATTTCCCCGCCTCAGGCCCTATAGGTTCGCCTGGAGAGGGGTGGGACTTGGGGCGGAGCCTGGGCGGGGCCGGGTGCGAAAAGCGCGCGAAGAGCGGCGCGAAAATCCACTTCCGCTTAGACCCAGACTATGGCGCAGCGCCGCGTCACGGACTTCTTTGCGCGCCGCCGCAGCGGGCCCCCGGCCGGTCCGCCGCTCATCAAACCGGCCCTGCTCACGCCGAGCCCCGCGAAGCCGGCGTCTGATGCCTCGGCACCTGGCACGAGCGACCCGCCGTCTGGCGGCAGCCGCAAGCGTACCCGCCCCTCCGCCAACCCCGCGCACGACGAGCCCGCGCCCCCAGCGCGCAGGAGGCTGCAGCTGCCTCTGCCACCCGCCCCCGAGCCTGCAGACGCGGTGAGGGGGCAGGGAGATTGTCCTAGAGGGAGGGGTAGGGAGGGGAAACTGAGGCCCGGGAGGGAGGGGACAGACAGAAGGGGAGGAGCCGAGAAGGGAAACTGAGGACTGGGAGGGAGGAAACAGACAAGGGGGAGGGAAAACTGAAGCCCTACCGAGAGAGGGTGGAAGGAAGGTGGGGGACAATAAAGGCATTGACGGGCTGGGGCAGGCCCTGGGGATGCTTGGAGCTTGTGAGGCTAAGGGTTGGCAGGGCAACAGACCTCTCCTGGTGGCCCACGCCCCTCCTGATTGGTTTTAGTCAAGGGCAGGTGCCTTTGTGGCAGGTGTCTACCATGTGCAGGTCTGCCCTGGAACCTGAGGCTTCAAGGGGGCACACTGTGAGTCCTTTCTCACCCAGGTCCCCAGCTCCACTTCTCCAGTGACCTCTGGGTCCCTAGTTCGCTCTTCTGTGCGTAAAAAGAGAAAGAATGCCACCCATCCAGGAAGCCATCGGCTCCGCCAGACCCAGGGAGACAAGGTGAGGAGGGCAGGTGAGGGCAGAGCTGGGGTGAGCTGGGGTGAGCTGGGCTGATACACTCTTTGTTCCAGGTCCCCGGGAAAGATGCTGCCTCTGAACTCCAGTTGTGCCTGCAGCGGGCACGGGAGCTGGGCGCACGAGTCCAGGCACTAAGGGCCCCAACCCAGGAGGGGGATACTGGAGAGTCCAGTGAGCCAGAGGCCAAGAGGGGTCCAACAGAGCCATGGTGAGCCTGATGGGGCTTGGAGGGCAGTGGAAACTGAGGCTGGGGGCGGGGGGTCAGGAACCCCCTTGAATCACAGACACAGCTGGCTGTGGCCTTCCTGCCTCACCTCATACTATGAGGGGGTGTCCCTGCAGGTGGGTTTCACTCCCCAGTTCCTAACAGTCCTCCAGGCCACTGTGCCTGCTGCTGGGAGCTGGGAGTGGATAAGGGGGTGCCTCTGACCAGGCCTGTCCCTCACAGTGGGGAGAAGACTCCTGCCTACCAGCGATTCCATGCCCTGGCCCAGCCTGGCATCCCGGGTCTGGTCCTGCCCTACAAGTACCAGGTACTGGCTGAGATGTTCCGCAGCATGGACACCATCGTTAGCATGCTGTACAACAGGGCTGAGACTGTGACCTTCACCAAAGTCAAGCAGGGCGTCCAGGACATGATGCGCAGGTGAGTGGCCTGTGGAGGTGTCATGCAGCTTGGACCCGGACCAGGTGCCCTGCTACGTTCCATCTAAGCCCCGCACTCTCATCCTGAAGGCGCTTCGAGGAGCGCAACGTGGGACAGATCAAAACTGTGTATCCGGATTCTTACCGCTTCCGCCAGGAATGCAATGTCCCCACCTTCAAAGACAGTGTCAAGCGGTCAGACTACCAGCTGACCATTGAGCCGCTGCTGGACCAGGGTGAGTGCTGGGCTCATGGGGTCTGGGGAGGGAACTCAGAGCCTCAGGTTTCCCCATGACACTGCACTCAGAAGCCTGGCACACATGGGCCCTAGGGCCTGGTCCCAGTTGGGCAGCAATGGGTGGCTCAGGACTGGACTCTCCCACAGAGGCTAGTGGGGCAGCCCGCCAACTGACGGCGTCTTGTCTTTTGCGGAGGCGGCACATTTTTGGCCAGAACCTGGTGGCACGGGTCAGGGAGCATCACAAGGTGAGTGGGAGTGGGTCGAGGACTGGGCAGCCAGGGGAGGTTCTTGTCTGGCTCCTTAGGGTCTGGGTCATCACCCAGCTGGGCTTCCATCCCCACCCACTATAGGTCTTCCTGGCTGCCCTGGATCCCCCCATGGACGTACCTGAGGACCAACTGACCCGCTGGCACCCCCGCTTTAATGTGGATGAGGTACCTGATATCGAGCCAGCCCAGCTACCCCAGCCACCCACCACAGAGAAGCCGTCCACTGCCCAGGAGGTGCTGGCCCGAGCTCGAGGCCTGATGTCACCCAGGGTGAGTCTGGGTCTTGAGGGTAGACCCAGGGCTCAGGTGGACTCCAGGCTAGTGCCCAGGGAGGCCGGCCTGTTCCCACGTGATGCATGGGTCTCAATTTGGCCATGGGGCTCGCAGCTGGTGTCGGGGAGTAAGTGGGGACCTGGAGGTGCACTTGCAGACACCTTGTGACCTCTTCCCCATCACTCCCTCAGATGGAGAAGGCTTTGAATGCCCTGGCCTTGCGCACAGTCATGCCCAGCAGTCCTGAATCTCCCCACCCGGCCCTGCCGGCCACCCCGGCCACCCCCAGCGCCCTGAAGGGGGTGTCACAGACTCTGCTGGAGCGGGTAGGTCATAGCTGTTCTGTTGGGTGGGGGTGTGGGGGCCGCCAGTTGACCTGCCTGTGTCCACCCAGGTCCGTGCCAAGGAGGCACAGAAGCAGCTGGCCCAGATGACTCGGCGCCCAGAGCAGGAAGAGCGGCTGCAGCGTCTAGAGCGGCTGCCTGAGCTGGCCCGTGTGCTGCGCAGCGTCTTTGTGTCTGAGCGGAAGCCGGCGCTCACCATGGAGGTGGCTTGCGCCAGGATGGTGGGCAGCTATCGTGCCCCCATGAGCCCCGGTACGGGCAGGTGCTCTGTGGCTGAGGGAGGAATGATGTGAGGGCCTAGGGAAAGCCTGGACTTGCCACATCACGTATCTGCCCATAGATGCCTGGGTCGGGGTTGGTCCCCTGACTTACTCTCTCCCTGCAGGGGACATGGAGCGACACCTGCAGCTGCTTGCGGAACTGCTGCCTGACTGGCTCCAACTGCACCACATCCGCACCGACACTTACCTCAAGCTGGACAAGTCGGCTGACCTTGCGGGCCTCACTGCTCGGCTGGCCCACCTGGCCCGCACTGAGGAGGGGCTGTGAGCCACTTACTGGTACCTGAGCACAGCCAGGCCCGTGGTTTATTCTCTTTTCTGTGTGATGCACTTTGTGGTGAGAGCTCTGGATTGGGTGGGTGGGTGGGTACTCGGATCTCTTGCCACCTCAGTGGTGGTCTGTCTCAGAGCTCCTGAACAGCATGTTAACATTAAAAGTCATGCCCATCGGTGGCTGTGTCTCTGCCGCTGTTGGGTGGGGTCCCAGGATCCTTGGGGGATGCTGGGGGCCTGGACACATTCAGTGTGGTAGAAGGCATCCCACACGCTCCCATCCTTGTTCCAGAACCTGGCAATGTGTAACCGTGATATGGCACAGAGGACTTTACAGATGGTTAAGGGGCAGTGGATCTGATTGGGAGGTGACACTGGGCTGTAGGCAGATGACAACCTAGCTTGGTGGCAGCAAAGAAGACTTGAAAGACTAATGAAGATGCATGTAAGGAGAATAAAAATCCTTACAAGTGGACCAGTTAAGACCAGTTAATACACAGAATCCACAATCAGTGTTCATGGAAGCAGCAGTCAAGAAATCAGACATGTTGCATTGGGAAAATCTGCAAAGGTAACAATTTGAGAACTTAGAAGTGTGCCCAACCTAAGGCATAGTATTTTCTATTACATCGTGCATGTGAATGTTGGACAATGAATAAGTAAGAGCAGAGAAGAATCGGTGTGTTGACAAAGAATATTAAAAGCACCATGGACTCCCAGAACAATGGAATGTACAGCCAGAGTGCTCCTTTGAAGCCACGATGCTGAGACTAGCCCGTGTACTTTGGACGTGTCATCAGGAATATTGATTGGTCCAAAGAACATCATGCTTGATGAAGTGGAGGGTCAGTGAAAAAAGATCCAGATGAGATGACTTGACACTGGCAGCCACATTGGGCTCCAACAATTGTCAACGTGACCTAGGACAGGAGTGGGAGAGACACTGCTGACCTCGAAGATGGAGGAGGGGCTTTGGCCAAGGGATGTGGACTCTCCCAGAGCTGAAAAAGGCAGGAATCCAGACTCTAGAAAGGCACCCTAACGCTGGGACTTCTGACCCCCAGAACTGTTTGTGTTTGAACCCAGTTTGTAGAAACCTCTTCACAGAGGTAATAGAACTTGTGTTGCACCCTAACTCTCTGAGCTCATTTCACGTGGCTCCCCCATCCATGTAGCCTCAACTGCTTGACTAAGAAGAACAGCAGCTGACACTTGTAGCAAAGTTGTTTACTCTCATTATTATGTACAAATAACACTGCCAGGACTATAAAAAGGGCCTGTGCCCACAGGAAGACTCACTGCACCCCAGGAATGGTTTTTTTTAAATCCCAGGTGGGCAGCTAGTGCCCCCCTTCATTCATACTGGAGGAGGGAGAAGAAGGGCACCGTCCCCAGCGTCTCCCGCCCCTTCAGTGAGGTCAGTTCCACCAGGCTGATGCACTCCAGCACCTGAGCCTGCACTTGGCCTAGCAGCTCACAGGCAGCCCGCATGGTTCCTGTAGAGTGGAGGTGGAGGGCAGGTTAAGCGGTGCCCCAACTCCTGAACCCCTGCCCTACCCTGTTCAGGAAGGCCTCCCCAAACATGTCAGGTTGGATCCCTCACCACCAGTGGCCAGCAGATCGTCCACCACGACCACCCTCTGGCCTGGCTCCAGGGCATCCCTCTGGATCTCCAGCTCTGCCTGCGGGAGAAGGCAACATGGTCCTCGGCCGGTAGAGGGTCTGGACTTTAATGAAGAGTCCTGTGTCTGTTTCCTACAAGGTTTGGGGAGCAGCTCCGATTCTCACCTTGCCGTACTCCAGTGTGTACGAGGCGTGTACTGTGGGGCCTGGCAGCTTGCCGCGCTTCCGGATAAGCACACATCCCAGACCAAGCTCCTGGGCTAGGGAGGGGCCAAACAGGAAACCCCGGGAGTCCACACCTGTCAAGGCAGGAGCTAGGGTGCTGGGCTGCACAAAAAAGGGGCCCCTAACTTTGTAGCCCATGTTTGTACAAATGGATTGCTGGGAACCAGGTCCACCCTACATGGTCCTGTTGAATGTGTAGCATTGGGCAGTTCAACTGGCCCCCAGCAAGCTGTAGGGGCCCCTTGACCCACTATAATGGGGCTGGCTGGGATGTGGGGAGCCCATACAGTTAGCATGGGAGCGGGCGCTGGACAGCCCCTTGCCCTTCAGCGGCAGTGTTTGCCCAGGGGCTGTGCATCAGGGGACTTGGTCAGCAGGCCTGCTATCAAGCAAGGTGGACATGTGTCCAGAAGCTCAGGGCACCCAAAGCACAGAAGGGAAGCTCTGTCTGGTGCTGAAGGAGGATTGGACTGCTAACCCCACAAGGTCAATGGTTCAAACCCATCGGCCACTCCCTGGAACCCCTATACAGGGTCACGATGAGGTGGAACCAACTTGACAACACTTAATAACCTAGACAGAGGGTGTAGCTGAGGAGGGCTGCCTGCACCTGCCTTGTGCTATAGTGCTGGGGTTGGGGGCCCTGGTCTCCTCCTCGGGCTCTTCCTCTGACCTTCCTTTCTACCTGATATACACAGTAGGTGCTTAATGCAGGTTTACAGGAAGGAAATATGAAAAAAGAAGCTTGGTTCAACAGATTCAGGCCAAACTCCCCCAGGGAGCTGTGGTGCACCTAGCAAGGTGTTAGCTGTGGCAGGTGCCATCCAGGCCTCAGCAGGAACTTGGAGGAGGGCTAGCTCTTGGCCACCATGGGAGCTGGGAGCAGGAATGCTTCCCTGCTCTGGGGAAGGGAGGCCCATGGAGGGACAACCTGCCCGTTCCCTCCTCCCCCCCCCCCCCCAATACCTGGGCCTCAGGTGAGTGACTCAGTGAGGTATAGCCTCGCCTCTGGGAGCCTCGTGATGCAGATCATGAGCAGATGAGCCACTAGACGTGCAGCCAGGACGCCTGGTCAGTAGGGAGCCCCGCAGGTACACAGTGGCAGACTCGCTACTGACGGTCACTGACCACTCCCCGTTTACCTGCGATGTAGTCGATCTTGCTGCCGTGGGTCTTCTTCAGGTGTCTGGCCAGGAGGCTGATGGAAGCGCGAAAGGAGTCGGGGTCCTTCAAGAGCGGCGAGATATCCCTGCCAACAGAGGCGGGCCGGGCGGTCAGCAAGTCTGTGGACCTGGCAGCTAGCCACGTGCCCATTGTACAGAGCGGGGAACTGAGGCACGCGGGGGTGACGTGTAGTCTTTAGGGCCACGGGGGTCCACGGGGGCCAGGAGGGCTGTACAAGAGGGCGAAGCAAGGTTCTACCGCACCTGAACCGGGAGGGGGACGGGGGCAGGGCGGGACTCAGCACAGATTCGGAGCCGCGCCCAGGACCCGGGGCTCCGTCTGTCCGTCCGCGCGGCACCTCGTAGCCCGGCCCGGCCCCTCACCTGAACAGCACGCCCGGCTTGGGGAAGTCCGGGAAGCTACGGATCCGCCGCGCGATCAGCTGCAGCTCAGAGTCCGCCATTATCAAAGCGGGTCGCGGTCCGGATCAGAGGGAACCCGGCCGGGCGCAGCAGCTCAGCGCAAGCGCAGGGTGGGGCGGGGTGGGCGGGGCGTCTGCACGAGGCGAGGAGGTGTGACTCCTAGCAGAGCTCTAGGGAGTTAAGCGCCTGCGCAGGGAGGCAGTAGGGGCGGGGCAAGGGCTCAAGGGTGCCTCAGCTTCCTTCAGCGTGTACCATATTTCATCGAATCTAAGTTGCCATCGATTTTAAGCCCTGCCATTAGTCTTGGTGTGACACTGCAGATTAATGCGCTGGATCATAAGATCGGCGGTTCAAGCTCACCAGCCACTCCTCTGAAACCCTACACAGGGTCGGAACCGACTTGATGGCACTTAACAACAACAAATTTGCTGCACAAAACCTCTTTAAAGTGTTGAAGAGCAAAGATATCAGATTGAGGACTAGGGTGCGCCTGACCCAAGCCATGGTGTTTTCAATAACCTCATATGCATGCGAAAGCTGGACAGTGAATAAGGAAGATCGTAGAAGAATTGATGCCTGTGAGTTGTGGTGTTGGAGGAGAATACTGAAAGTGCCGTGGACTACCAAAAGAACAAACAGAACTGTGTTGGAAAAAGTGCAGCCAGAGTGCTCCTTGGAGGCCAGGATGGCCAGACTTCGTCTCTCATACTTCAGACACATTGTCAGGAGGGACCAGTAGCTGGAGAAGAATATCATGTTTGGTAAGGTGGAGGGTTGGAGACCCACTAACAAGATGGATTGGCACAGTGGCAGCATCAATGGGCTCAAACGTAGCAACAACTGTGAGGTGGGCCCGGGACCAGGCAGTGTTTCATTCTGTTGTGCACAGGGTCGCTATGAGTTGGTACCGACTTGATGGCCCCTAACGACATCAGCACCAACATTAGTGGCTCTAGAGGATAAGCACTGGACTGCGAACCACAGATTGGTGGTTTGAGCCCACCACAAACTTTATGAGAGAAAGATAAGGCTTTCTGTTCCCTCAGAGATTTCCAGCTTCGGAAACCCTGTGTACGGGGTCGATTTGAGTCACAATCCACAACCTTCTCTTTGGCACTAAACATTAATGTACTCCTGAGAAAACGTGGGGACACTGTCCAGCGCAGCATCAATGACAATGGAGAGTGACCACGCAGCCAGTTAAATACCCTTCTTGTACAAGAGCTCCCACACGGTAACTGACTGCCCAGGAATGTTGGATGCACCCCTGGGTGACATCCCCTCCCTGTCCTCACAGTCTGGGCTTCCCTGCTGGTGACTCCACTCATTCTTGCTGGCCTGCGATGTCAGGAAGGCTGCTGGGCTGCCCCTACGGGTTCTGGGACTGCCCTGGACCCCCATGTGTGGACATTCCTTTCCTCCTAGGCCTGCTGACAGGCCCAGTTGTTCTAGTATTGGACTAACCCTCCAGAGGTGGCCGAGGGATGAGATAGGGGTGTCCCATAGAAGAAAGTGTTAGGCAAAGGTTTGGACAGCCTTGGTGGTGGTCCATGTGGTGGTCAGGGAGACCTGAGCAGATAGTGACTGGGAACCCATCCCAACTCTATAGGCTAGACAGGGAGATGGGGGGGCAGTGGGTGGGAGGCCACAAGGTACTGTGAGCCAGCCTTGTGTGTGTGTGTGTGGGGGGGCCTCAGTTCTAGAATTTCCTGTCTCTAGACATACAGGATACCAGGGGACCTCGGTTGTTGTTGTAAAGTTGTAAAGTGCCATCAAGTCAATACCAACCTATAGCGACCCTGTAAGGGTTTCCAAGGAACAGCTGGTGACCTTGAACCGCCAAACTTGCAGTTCAAACGGCTTTGTAGTCTGGTGCATTAACCCACAGTGCCACCCCAGGACTCCAAACCCAATCTCATTAAAAAAAAAAAAAAAGACAACCAAGCTAAACTGTCTGGGGTTGTTTAATTGGGAAACTGATCTCGAGTGATTTCTAAGTTTACAGTGTGTCTCTTTGGCATAGTCACGAGAGAAGAGTGGGCTTGGAGAGTCACTGTCTTGGGCACTGTCACTGCTGAGGATGGAGGGCCTGCGGGGCAAGGAGGGTGACAGCAACATGTCCCCCCCCCACTGAGAGGTGGGGATCTGTTCATCTCCCCAACACACCAGGAGGGGTGCAGGGGAAGGTGTGGGGCTGTGATCACGGTGCTCAGGGTCTGAACTAGGGTCTTGGCAGCTTGCCTTCAACATCAGGGCAGTGACAAATGATTTGTGCCCTGTGGGTCATGGGAGGGGCACTGGCTGGGACAAGGCCAGCCGGAGGCTGTGGGGGGGTGGGGGTGCGTGTGGATGCAGAGGCCCTGTGAGGTGGGGACTCGGGAGGGAGTGGTCTTCCCCATTATAAAGTTCCGTGGAGGTATGGGCGTCAAGGTGGGCCATCGTGGGGGCCACGTCCTGGTCATCTCCAGCCTTGCCAGTCCTCTGCCAGCCGTGGGGATGCCATCAGGTATGCAAGGCAGGGCTACTGTTGCCCAAGGCGGACAGAGCCTTCCCACCCCAGGCGTTGGACTGGGGCCAGCGGGTGCTAATGAGGCCAGGAGCACTTCCCAGGGACAGACTCCGGGGGCGTCAGACACTTGCTCAGCTTTTCACAGCCCGGGGGCGCCCAGTTCTGCCAAGGGAGAAGTCAGAAAAAGAACAACCTCTATTTGCAGGCCCGGGAATCAGGCACAATGTGCAGTTTTCAGACCCACCCCCATCCTGGGCCCCTGCTCCCCTCAAATGGCCGGAGTGTGGAAATCACTTCCGATTTCCAGCAGGTCCACCCCAAGGGGATCACGTGGTATTGGGCTTCAGTGGTGGGGGAGGGGGTGGGGCGGACCCAGCCACAGGACAAGGGTTTTCAGGGTAAAGACTAGAGGTGAGGGTAGCTCCAAGGTGGGCCTGCACAGTGATCCCTGACCTTTCTAGGCACAGCTTCCCCAGGACCCTCCCGCCCAGGACCTAGCCATACTCAGCAGTGTCGGGAAAGGACATCAGGCCCCCAGGAAGGGCTGACCAGGAAGTTCTCAGCCTTGACCGGCTACTGAAGAAGGTCCTTACCCGACCAGTTTCCCTTTCCTGGCCTGCGCCTGAGAGGAGTCTGAGTCGTCCCTGCTCCAGGAAGGACATGTGTCCAGGAAGGACACTTGCCTTGTTGGAGGGGAGGGCAGTGCAGCCTGACCTTCCTGTGGGCCTTGGGCCCATGCCCTCAGGCCCCAAGTCACCCCTCCCAGGGTCTCCACAACCAAAGGCCACCGCTGGCCCTGCCCTCTGCAGTGATGGATGGTACTCCTGAGTTGGTGGTCCCTGGGCTGTGCCCCGGCGGGTCTGGTTTGTTCTCTGCTGAGGGGATGTGGGGTCAACACCTCCCTTCCGGGTTCCAGGGCTGTGGGCGGGCAGTTCCTCCAGTGTCCAGCAGATGGCGTCATCCCAGGCAGCTTCCCCTCCCCCTGCCCCTGGGTAGCGGTCACTTCCTGTGTCTGGAAACCTGAGGATGACTTATTGGGACATTACAGCGGTCACAGAATAAGGCTGGCTCCTGAGACAAGGGTGGAGAGAGGCTACAGGCGGCCGGGAGCTCCCACCGTGCTGCTGCGGTGACCCACTGTGGCCATCAGTGGAGGAGGACCACCTTGACTTTTACATGTTACCTCATTATGGCTCAGCCTGAGACCTGGCTGGCCAGACTCTGGGTGTTCGGCTTTCAGCCAAAAGATCAGCAGTTCAAATTCACCAGCTGTTCCTCGGAAACCCTACACAGAGTCGCTAAGAGCCGGAACAACAAGGGGACCAGGAGTCTTTGGGCAGTTGCCTGACTCCAATCTGTGGGTCTCAGGCACTTTTGTCCCCTGCACAGAAAAGCCCACACCTCATGCTGGTAGTTCTGCCCTGTCCTTCAGGACACCGCGAGTTGGAATCGACTTGACGCAGTTTGGTTTTCCCTCCACCCTGGGAATCAGGCACAGCTGGTGGGCAGGGGGCATGAGAGCTGCCCGTGGGGCGACACAGGACGCTGGGCTCACGCTGTCTGTCTTGGAGTGGACAGCCTGCCACGATGTCCTTGCTGGGGCGGCGCAGGGCTTCCACTCACCATGACAGCTGGGTTGCACACGTTGAGTTGCGGCTGGCCGGGCACCAGAGTCTCGCGGTGCTGCTGAATGACTGGGGTTATCCGGCGGAGGGCATCCTGGTACTCGGCGCTGGCAAAGCTGGAAGGAGGGGAACTCTGGGTCATGGCCGGCACCTGCATCTGAACAGTAGGGGCAGCAGAGGGAGGCAGAGACCTGGGTCTGTTCATCAGGTGCCCAGAGAGGGGGTGAGGCCCTCAGGGTGGCTGTCCACAGGTGACAAGGACCCGGAAGGTGTGTCTGGGTGTTGAGCACCCTGAGACCAGAGTCTGAGCCCTTGGGATGGGGTGCAGGAGGTAGAGTAGGCAGGCCAGGGCTGGCTGGGCACCCCTCTGCAGCCTCCTCACTACGCATGCTGCTGAGTGTCCTGTGCAAGGAAAAGGGGAAATGCCACCGATGGCTCCCAAATCCCAACACAAACACTCCGGGCATCTGAAGCCTTTGTCTGGAGGCGTTACTGTCTGTGGTCGGTCGTTAGAAGCTTTTCTGCCACTTAGCCCCACCCCAGGAGGACGAGCAGCTCAAGTGGAGACTGTTTGTCACCAGGGACAGTGATGGGAGTCAGGCACAACAAGGGGTTCTACTGTGCAGAAGTGGGGGACCCAGTGGGGAGGGGTGCATGTCCCCTCAACGAGCACACCACTCTTCTGGAGTTGGGAGATGGATGAATTAAGGGTACAGCGCAGCCGTGGGCATGAGACTGGAGGTCGGTGTACGGCTGAGGGCAGCTCAGCTCACCTGAGTGGATAGCGCTCTCCTGGGTCTTCTCCCAAGTGGAACAGCAGAGGCAGGGACGTGTGCTCTACCTGGGTGTGAGTTGTCACTCCGGAGACATTCTGCCCGGGGCAGAAATCGATGCCCTGCAAGAACAGCAGAGGGGAGGGTGTGGCACTGAGAGTTGCTGCAGTCCCTGAGGACAGTCCTCGCTGACCACTGGGCCCAGAGCTGCCGAGGAATCACCACCCCCACCGTCTCCTCCTCTGGGAAGGGACCATAAGCGTCTCATATCTTGACTGCACAGTTCACGAGTACCTTCACAAATCACAAGACTGGTGAGGCCTACACCACAGACAACAGAGAAAGACGCACAGGTGGCCCAAGGATGGAAGGGCTTCCACGGAGCTAGAGTTAACAGACTCAGGAGCAGACTAACCCGTAACTTCATCTCCTTCTGAGAGCTCAGGCTCGTGGTAGCAGCCCCTGGACACCAAGGCCCAGGGGCATACTGTCCAGCTGAGGCCCATACATGCCGAGGGCTGCTGCCTGTCCTGTGTTTCATTGCCCAAGGGCAGCCTCTCATGTGCATTAGAGTGGACTTTGCAAGTAAGCATGTGTCTTGATTCTCTGACCTTCTGTGGCCAGGGACCCTCCCAGTACTTGAGGACGGCCCCTGGGGCTCCTGGGTCCCCCGGGGGAAATCCCTGCCCCCACATTCAGCCCCAGGGGAAGATCATGACACGAGGAGATGCTTGTGTACCCAGAGTACCCAGTAACAGACTAGTGGTAGCAGCCCACCCAGCCAATTCAAACCACTGTCAACGTTGGAGATGTGGCCGAGACACTTGGCGATGGGCAAAGGAGTGAGGGTCTCTGCAGCAGTCCAGCCGGTCTGACCGCACTCTGCTTCTACGAGCCGGTGATAGTAATGGGCAAGCTTCCATGGGGGTTAGCAGTCTATGAAGCCCCGTTCCCACTGGGGCCACTGAGCATCTGTGGCCAGGGAGCATGGGGCTGCCACAGTGTCAGCTGCTGAGGGTGACCGATAATGCGCTCCGACACCAATTTTTGAAAGGAGGGGGGGGTGATCTTTTGACCTCCTGGGAGCAGAACTGCTAGAGAACAAATGTAGAGTTGACAGTAGGAGAAACAGCCACTTTGGCATGAAAACGCTGAGCTCTTAGTGGAGAAGGACCCAAGTCTAGACAGAAAACACCAATTATAATTTGGATGTAAATTAAATCAGACCCTGAAAAACAGCAACAAATTGTACCAGTTCCCCTCAGATGAAGACCTTGCCCGCTGGGCTGCTGATGGTTATCTGGGTCCATGGTACCCTGGGCCCATCATGGAGTGACAGGCCAAGTCTGTACCCCAGCCCCTCCAAGGCCAAGTTCCCAGAAGGCCCTGGGCTGCATTATGGTGAAGTGCCGTTGAACAGTCCCTGCCAGCTGCTCTTCCCACCTCCTCCAGTCTGTCCCCCGTGAGGTGCAGCCCACATGGAGATATAGCTCAGCACCCCCTATAGACAGCGTCTGAGTCCATATTCTGTAGAGGGCTGCACCCATGTGTGCAGTGTGGCAGGGCACCCACACATTAGCGGACAAGGTCCTCCCTGCGGGACAGGCACTGCCTTACAAGGAGTCCTGCCCAGACCTGCAGAATGAGGGCCAGGGGTGCAGGACCCTCCCCAGGGTTTGAGGGGAGGCACCTGGACCCTAATACAGCAGCCCTTCCCTCAGCAGGTGTGCCTGAACGGCTTCTTCCTTCCCCAGGAAGAAGCACCATGCCCACCACTGGGCAGGGCCTCCTCAGGCATCACTGCCCTAGGCAGGCTAAGGCGCCTCCCTGATGTCCCATGAAATTTGTAATTTTCATCAATTGGTCCAGACTGTTCTATTACTTGGTTTTTCATTAGCTCAAATTGATTTTTCTGCCCATTAAGGCAAATTAGCAAGGTTTTTATGTATCTACAGACCTTGAGGCTGGGGAGGTGGGGGAGTGGAAGGGGATGAATGATGGGGCGGGTGGGAGACCAGGAGGGTAAACCTGGGAGAAAGCAGGGCCCAGGGACGGTGCATGGGGGGCAGGGGGCAGTGTGAGGAGAGAGAGTGCTGGGTAGCTGGGGTAACGTGGGTCCTCACCCCGGGGTGTGGCTGGTCACTGTGAAGAGCTATGAAATGGTCCCAGAAAGAGGATCAGCAGATCAGAGAAGACGCAGCCCCGACAGGGGAGGGGGAGGGAGGTTGTACTTGTCCTTCAGCCAGTGGTCAACATCATGATGGCCCCACTCATGGGCCGGCCAAGAAGGCAGCAAGATGGCTGCCGGTCCCCAGCCTCTGGCTCGGAAAAGGGGGACCCAAGGTGTGGAGGGAGGCCGCTAGCCCGTGGGAGACTGGATGGGGTGGGACCAAGAAGGCTTTCAGCTCAGCCCCAGTAGGTGTGGCCCCACACTGCCCCCGCTGCCTCATCTCCAGACACACCACAGCCTCAACAGGTCCCACCAGACCCTTGCCCGAGGCTGTCTCTGCTCAGGTATCGGCAGTCCACAGCAGGGAGGAAGGCAACACAAGTCAGGGGCTGCGCTGTTCTAGAAGCCCAGAGAGCGGCATGTTGGGAGCAGCGCTTGTCCCCAGAGCTGCCATTACCTGTCTGAACTCCTCCCAGGCGTTGGTCCATGTCCAGAAGTGGGCCTTGTACTGCCCCACAGTGGCAGCCATCAGCTCGTTGCCACGGTAATAAAAGATGGGCCTGTTGGAAGGGACATGGAGTAAGAGGCATCTGTGTCCATGCCGGGGGCTCCAGCGGCCCCACTGTGAGCCTTTTGGGTGGACGTTAACAGATGACCTACTAAGCCCAATAGTGACAAGGCCTGAGTGATGGGTCTCACAGCCCTTCCCTCCTGGGGCCAGAGGAGAAAGCTGCAGGATGGGATCTACCAGCTCAGAGAGGCCGGTGGGGTGGGGTTGTTGCTATGATCCCACCCCTCCAGGGCCAGGCCTCTGTGGGAAAGAGTGGTCTCCTTTCTAGGGAGCATCTGCAGTGAAGGGCACTCACCTCCGACTCTGGACATTGGGTACCAGGTCCAGTGGGAGGACAAGGCTGAGCCGTGGCCTTCTCCCAGCCAGACCCCAGACCCGGTGACAGTGACCCTTCCAGCCCTGGCAACGGAGGCAGAAAGGAGGGTCCGGTGGGAGCTGCCACCGTGAGCGAGACCAGGGGACAATGCCGAGGACAGAACATGCAGCGCCGAGGCCAGGTGTCTCCCTGCCGCTCTGCCAGGCTTTCCTGAGGTACCTCTCCCCCCAGCTCAGCCTACCACCTGGACTTCACAAGCCCTCCGCCTACATGACCATCCCATGAACACACACATGACCACCCCATGAACACACACATGACCATCCCATGAACATACACATGAACATCCCAGCACCAACCTGTCAATCAGCTGGCCCCGGAGGAGGGTGGGAAGCAGGTCCAGGCCGTCGATCTTCCTGTCACTGGGCGGCTCCAGGCCTGCGAGGGACAGGCTGGTGGTGAAGAGATCCATCAGGCTGCCCAGCTGGTAGCTCACCTGCAAGGGACACAGAGTGACCACAGCCTTGTACACGCTGGCGCTCACACACACACACACAGGTGTGTTAGCATGCAGGGCGAAGACACCCTACTTTTCCCCCATGGACTCTCTGGGAACCTCCGTGTCGTTCATGACCCTCGAGGCTGGTGCACCAGTGTGTCCTCGGCCAAGTGCTCAGTATATGTGAGCACAGGTATGGCTCAGCGCCCCACCTTCCGTGGCAGAGAGCTACACACCCAGGCCCAGGGATTTAGCAGTCAGAGCAGGTGGGTCTGGCCCCCAAGTCGAGCCTTCCTTGACCCCCTTAGGGTGTCTGGGCTCCTCGGCCTCCCATTCTCCTGAGTCAGAGCAGTGGAGGGAGATGGGGACCCCTCTCTCTCTGACAAGCTTGGAGACCCTGACCCCAAAGCTGCTGACCCTGGCCCAGGGGTCCTTATGAACACTGACAGATGGTTGGGGCCAATGGGGTCCACCAAGTGGTGCCTGACACTGGCCGGACACAACCTGGGTGGACCCACCAACTTCCTGGGAAAGGCCCAGCCGAGAGAACAACAGGGAGGGAAAGGGTGGGTTTTCCAGTCAGGTAGAGGACCCTGCTGGCCTGAGGATACACGGAAGGCACAGGGCAGGACTGGACTTGGTTTTCTCCCCGACGATGGTCCCTGCAGGGCCTGGTCTAAGCTCAGCTACACGTCCTAACAGTCGTGAGGACTCTCCTGATGCATGTTCCCAATGTCCTTGTGCCTTGGTCCCCTCTGCTTAACAGGTCACATCCAAGTTAGAAGCCTGGGCTCTTCCTTGTGTCTGGTTCCAGCCATGTCCCCCTGGGGGGGGGGCTCTGGCTGGGTCATGGGAAGACACAGAATTGATCGGGACCAACCCACAGGACAGAGGGACACCATGTCTGCTGGGCAAAGTGCAGGAAGGCTGGCAGCAGCTGCCCCCACTGGTTCTGGGGCGGTGGCCATACAGGGACCCTCCTGACACCTGCCGCAGGGGACTGCCATCCTTGGCACCCAGGCCCACCCTGGCCTCACACGAGGATTCCCCCAGGAAGGATCCCGTCCTACAGAAACAGAAGATGCTGTCTCTTGTCTGGGTTCCACAGGGTACCGGGGAGGGGGTGCTGTACACCTGACGTTGGGTTATAAGTCCGGGGCTGCCAACCTGAGGAGAGGGGGCAACAGCCCACACGGCCCCTCCTTCCAGTCGTTTCCCTCCCTTCTAACACATTCCTTTATCTTTAAAAACAAGAAAAGAGAAAGGAACACAACTCCTTGAAGCATCTGGGGAAACAGCCTGCAGGGAGGAGCGGTGGCTGGGGTGGGTGGTGAGAGGGAGCCGTGAGCAGCCGGCAATCTCCGCAGGACCGGACCCCATTAGGGAAGCGTAGCCCTCCACAGAAAGGTTCTTACTGCTCTTATCAGCACTTTCGAGCTTTAACCCAGAACCCAAGGGAACAATGAATAAAGTTGCCCTTGGCTGAGTGCAGGGAGCACGTGGACAAGCACTAGGGTTAGCAGAGTGCAGCCTGTAGCCGCCCAGGCGATTCTGCAGGACTGGCAGGTAGAAGGCCTGCGCCACCTTCCCTGAGGGAAAGGATTGTTAAGTACCAAGCACGCATGGTCTGGGCTGGAACCTTCTGGAAGCCTGAGCTCTGGGCCTGACAGTAGGTGTGCTGGTGGCTCTGTGCTGATACATGGGCTTGTCTCAGAAACTGACACTAACATGCCTGGTCACCCCTGGGTGCTACAGTTTAGGGGACAGAGAGATTCTGGAGAAGGTATCATCACACGAGCAGCTGGAGGCTCTGAAAGTAAACCCGTTTCCTCCATTTCTCTCAGAGTCCAGCTGTAGTTCCATGACCATAAGTGTCCTGCAGGGACACTCGAGAGGGACATGGTCATAGCTGGCTGCCCCTTACCTGTCCCGTAGGCACATGCCCGGGCCACCATGCGATCGCTGGCTCCCTCACGCCCCCTTCAAAAGTGGTCTGCTTACCGCACAGAAATGGTCCGTTACTGCCAGCTGTTGGGAGGAGGGCTGTGGTCAGTCCAGGCAGCACCCTGAGGCCCACGACTGGCTGGCTAGCCATCCTCCAGGCAGCCACAGAGGAACTCAGAGCAGATGTGTGTGTGTGTGTGTGTGTGTGTGGCCAGAGAGCTCTGGGATTGCAGGTCACACCCCGTCCCAGCTCTCTCTCCAGACTTGTGGGTTGGAACCAGGCCAAGGGGCAGAGGATGGAGGCAGGCCCAAGCAAGGGGATTACTGACAAGTGTGAAGCCAGAAGCAGGAAGGGCGATGCGTATGAGGCAGTGTGCCCGTCCCAGCCACCAGCCTGCCCCTACCCCCTGGTCTCCACTTCCACAGGCCCCTGTCCTCCTGCCTCAGTTCTCCTGGATCACCCCTGGTACACACACACACACACACATGCCTTGTTTGGGAGCAGAGACAAGGGCGGCACCATTATCCGATGTGAAGAACACGAAGGTGCGCTCCGCGATGCCAATGCCCCGGAGCAGCTGTAGGATCTGCCCAACGCTGTCATCAATCTCCCGCACAGCGTCCCCGTAACTGTGGGCCCAAAGTGGTAAGGGCATCGGGCACTCCCCAGGGCGCCACCCCCTCCACGGCAGGGCAGCTCTGGGCCAGACTCACCGCCCTCTCCGGCTGCTCCCTAAGAAAGGCTTGGAGGCGTAGACAGGCCCGTGCGTGGCGTCAATGGCCCAGTAGAGGAAGAAAGGGCGCTGCCGGGAATGCTGCTTCTTGATGAAGTCCAAGGCTTCCTACGGGGAGAGCACATCTCCTCAGCCCCAGACAGCCTCACCTACTGCTGGGACTGTTACTCTGGGATGAAGTCCAGCTCCCCCGTGGCCCAGCCATTACCTGCAAGTAGATCTGGGTGAGGTTGGCCTCCCCAGTCTTCAGGTTAATTGGGAATTCTTCATAGAATCTGAAACCAGCACAGACTCAGATAATATCAGAATCCAGAGTGAGGTCCCCTTTTCTTGGATGGACAGTGTGCCAGTCTCGGCCTCAGGGAGAATGGACACAGTCCAGCTGGCCTGCACTGCCCATACCAGGACTGCCCAGCACTGTTGATCGTTTGGAAACAGACCATAAAAGTGCAGTGACGTGGCTCCGTGGTTGCTGGGGCTGGGGCAGGGAGCAGGGCTAAAAGGTTGTGTTTGGGGGAAGATGAAAATGCTCTAAAGTGTGCTGGTGGGTGGACAAGTCCGTGAACGTGCTGATGACCACTGAGTTGTGGGCTCTTGATGGGTGAGCTGTGCAGTTTTATCTCAAAAGTGTTTCTAAAAGGTGGCACCAGGCTGGCTGAGCCCTTGGAGATGCAGGAAGAGGAGCTGCCAAAAGCTGAACCGGACCCATCCCAGCAGCTGAGGGCCGCTCGGAGCTGGAGAGGTGACCCTCCTTTGGGCTCACTTCTGTCCCTCCCTTCCTGTGGCTGGTTCCCTGGCTCAGCTTCTGGAAGCGTAGCCTGACTCTGAGCCCAGGAGGTTGGGCAGGGAAGGTGAAACCACAGGAATACCCCAGCCCCACAGCAGTGAGAACACAGTGGCATCCGGAGCCTGGGGCTGCCACACTACGGAGGGCGCCGCCCTGCAGACAGGGGCAGGAATGGACATTACCTGCCGACCATCTCCCAGTCCCTGTACACCGGGATGTTGGGCTTGGCCTTGTTGTCGTAAGGTCCAAAGTGACAGTTGGGGGACCCAAACCACTCGTCAAAGCCATGCTTCAGGGGGTGGAACTGGGGCCGGTGGCCCAGGTGCCTAGGGACAGGGACCCAGGAACTCAGAACCACGTCATCAAGATGTACAGGAACCCAGGCCTAGTGTGTGAAATCATGACAAAGCCAACACCGTGCCAACACCCAGAAAGCTCCTTGCAGCCTTCTCTGTTGTCAGGGAGGTCATCTCTACAGCCACGATGCCCAAATACCAAAGCACAGGCCGCCCTTGTCCAGCTATTGCAGTCAGACTGGCCACAGAGCCTGAGGGGATTCCCATCAGACCCGACTGCAGGGCTTCCTGCCAGACCACCGGACATCCAGCTTCCTCGCTGCTCTCCTGGCCATGGCAGACCCTGCCCGGCACACAGCTCTCCAGCCTCTGCTTGATTGGAGTATTTGGATAGGCTCATCAACTCAGCCCCTGAGCAGCCTCCCATAGTCCTGACTGGGCCTCCACCCGCACAAGCTTAGAACCTTAGAACCACCAACCCACAGGGCCCAGGGCCGGGGGCGGGGCCGAGCCCAGGGGTGGCCAAGTGTTGGGCAGTCTTCAGGGCCGGGAGCAGAAAGGAGGGCACAGAAGTGGGCTACAGAGCAGGCAAGGACTGCAACTTCATAGCGCCCGGACTACACAGCAGGATGGTGGAGGGGCAACTCGTGCATGAACGGGAGGGTTCTAATCACGGCTGTTCCTCATTCCATAATCAGAGCCCCCGTGCCCTGCCCCCACACTAGGTTGCCCTGCTCATCACCACTGTTCCTGATTCCTCATCAGAACCACGTGCGCCCTCCATTTGTTCAACATGGCTGGTCCTGATTTATTATCAGAGCCACGAGCCCCTCCCCGTGGCCCCCACCCCCACCCTCCCGGGCTGCCCGGCCCCACCCTGAACTGTCCTGCTCTTCACAGCTGTTCCTGATGGTAATCAGAGCCAACAGTCCCCCACCCTCGCCCCTCCCCGGGCTGCCCAGCCCCACCCTGGACTGTGTCTGTCTGTTCGGAACAATCCAGTCCAGATGAAGGTAGCCCCTCCCCCCCCAGGGTACCATCTAGAGGACTACATGGAGGTCACATGCCAGGCTCCGTGTGACTAGACCAGCCTGGGATCGGAAGTCCCTATCTGTTCTAGGAAGCACCCCACGTTGGGAAGCAGGCTGTGTGGCACTCACCACTTGCCAACAATCTTGGTGGCATAGCCGGCCTCCTTGAGGAGTTCGGGTAGGAGGTGCTCCGAGTCCGGGATGCCCCCCACGATGTCCTGAGGGGTGTACCCTGCAGAGAGCAACAGTGCTGAGGGTGGGGTGCACAGACCTGCAGATGCTCCGCGTTAGCTGGGTCTTTCTCTTTTTGTTAAGGGGCGTTGAGTTGGTTCCAGCTCATAGACAACCCTGTATTGGGTTTCAGAGGAGAGGCTGGTAGGTTTGAACCGTCAACCTCTCAACTGAAACTGACCTTTGGTCCAGCGCATTATCCTACAGCGCCACACCAAGACTCCTGGTAACAGGCCTAAAAGTCGGTCCATCCTTGACTCAGGTCAGGTTGGTAGCCAGTGTCTTTGGTGTAGCACAATTGGAGGGGGAGGGCGTGGGGGGAGAGGCAGAGTCCACGGCTCCTGTCCCCCTGGTCTGCTCAGTCCCCCTACTTGCCCTCTTCCCTCCTGGGCTCCCCATTGCCCTCTGAAGCCTTCCTGTTTTACAAGGCCACCAGGAAGCTCCCTTCCTCTGCGAGTTGTACCTAGAGACCCCTTTGTGCCCTGCCCCCCACCCAAGGGAAGGCAGATACTTCTGGGGTATACCCCTGAGAGTGGAGAGAAGGCCTGGCCATGCCGCACCCTCTGACCGGAGAGCTGCCACCGGCCATCACACCCAGCTGTGTCCTAGCTGGAACCTAGGCCGATCACCACCCGACACAGGGGCCCTTAGGGGTGGGCGTACCATTCCGGGCGTGCCCGTTAGTGGTATAGAAGCCATTGCGGATGGGCAGGCGTCCAGTAAGCAGAGCTGCCCTGGCTGCATACAAAGACAGAAATGAATATTGTGAGTGACATGTGTCCAGACACGGCTCCTGAGAGTCAGCGATCCATTCCAACTCTCCGCCATCCTACAGGGCAGAGTGGGACCACCACAGGGTTTCCCAGACTCCTGAGGACCAGCTGGTGGGTTTGAACTGCTGACTTTTCAGCCCCTGTGTCACCAGAAATGGAAGGGCATGAGGCACCATGGACACGAGTGAAGGTAACGCTGACCCTTCTGTCTGGCCTGCACCAGCCTCAGGCGAGCGGGACTTACACGGTGAACACAGGGGGTTGGCCGAGTAGAAGCTGGGGAACAGCATCCCTTCCGCAGCCATCCGGTCCAGATTTGGGGTCTCTCTGGAAGGTTCTCCATTCACCCCCAGGTCGCCCCAGCCCATCTGCAGGAAGAGATGCAATGAGAATCCTCTTTCTGGGGGGACATGACCAGACACTGGACCCCAGACTTTGCGAGTGGAAGGTGCCCGTGTTTTCCTTTTTCCTGACCTTTGACCCAACGTGGCACTGCTCATCCAAACTAAAACCAACAACACACTACCATCAAGTTGAGTCAGATTTGTAGTGACCCTATGTATGTATAGGGTCTCTGTGTACAGGGTCCCTGTGTGTAGGGTACCCATGTATAGGGTCTCTATGTATAGGGTTCCTGTATACAGGGGCCCATGTACAGGGTCCTTGTGTATGGGGTCTCCATGTATAGGTCCCTGTGTATAGGGGCTCCGTGTATAGGGCCCCTGTGTGTAGGATCCCTGTGTATAGGGTCCCCGTGTATAGGGGCTCCATGTATAGGGCCCCTGTGTGTAGGGCCCCTCTGTGTAGGATCCCTGTGTATAGGGTCCCCGTGTATAGGGTCCCTGTGTATAGGGATTCTAAGATTACAAATCTTTTCAGGAGCAGGTAGCCTCATCTTTCTCTGGTGCAGTAGCCGGTGGGTTTGAACCACCGACTGTGTGACAATCCAGCATTTAATCACCGTGCCACCAGGGCTCCCTGTCACCACTCACAGAGAACTGGGGTCTACAACACATCCATCTACCTCACTATTTGTCTATCTGAATTTTTGTCCCATATAAAGAAGTCCTCACAAACCTATGGTGCACATTTAGATTTGCCAACAAGTGGTATGGACAGTTAAAACGGCCCGGCCACTGTGCGAAACAGTCTGGCAGATCCTCATAAAGCTAAACAGAGCCCCACGAGGGTGCACTTCTAGGTACGAACTGAAAATAACTGAAGGCAGAGACTCAAAAACACATACCCGTATGCCAGCGTTTACTGCAACTCCGTCTAATACCATCCTTGAAGCCCGTTTGTATAGACAATGTAACGTGACAGCCACACAGAGTAACGAAGTTTTGATGCTACACCGTGGAGGAACCTCCTTGACATGTTGCTAAAGTGGCATCCTGGGTGGTGCTGTAGCATAAGCCCAGGACCCAAAAGTCGGTTTGAACCAGGAGGTCGGCAGTTCAAACTCATCAGCTGCTCCTTGGAAACCCTATGCTGGGTAACTACTATGAGTTAGAACTGACTCAACGGCACTTAACACCAAGTGAAATCAGTCAGACACCAAAGGACAGATATTGTATTTCTACACAAATAATTTAGGTGTTATATGGGTTTTGCAAACAGTGTAGCTCCATAATAAATTATTTCTTATGAGCGTTGCATGCATCATGTGTGTGCATAATTTACATGTGAAACTTACGGTGGTCTTTGCTTCCCCTTGTCTGAAATGCCTAGAACAGACAAAGGTGCAGAGACACAAGTGGTTACGTGGTGGTGGGAGTTGCGGGGGGGAGAAGAAGGAGATGGCTGAGGGTATCAGCGCTCAGGGGCACGGAGTTTCCGTACGGGTGATGGATCACAGATGTCCTTGGTGTCCCCTTCCGGTCCTAGAGGTGTGTGCTATTGATGTAGGTATATGTGATGTAGGTTGCACATATGTGCAACGAGTATGTGTATATGTGGAGATGGTGGTAGAAAGACAAGAGAGGAGTCAGAAAGGTCCCATTCAGTGTTGGACTTTTTCTCTCTAAATCGCTACATTTTCCCAGGGTTTATTGTATGTGTATGTTTTTTGTACTCCATTTATGTATTTATTTTTTAAGGAAAGGTGCAGGGACAAAGAGCAGCTACAGAAGGAGAAGAAACTGGCATGTGAATGAGAAAGAAATCCTTTCTTATGACTTATCCTCGTGGGTGGGTAAGGAAAGGCAGCTTAAGCAAGACAGACGTGTTTGGGAATGACCAGCATGAATCCGATTCATTCAGAGGTAGAGAGACCAGTGATGCTTCCCAGGGGAAAAACTTAGTGAACCAGGTATTCTAATCTAGGGTTGCCTCTGCATTTCAGCTTTGAGGGGAAAATCCTCGGGGAGATGAACAACATTCCACATTTCCTCTCTCTAATTTAAGGGGAACACATCTATATAAAGTCAATTCTGACTCATACCAAGCAGCTCCTGAGAGTTTCCAGAGCTGTAAATCTTAACAGGAGCAGACAGCGTTTCTCCCTCCGAGAAGCTGGTGGGCTCGAACTGCTGACGTTGTGGCTATCAGCTCAACTTGTAACCCACTGTACCACCAGGGCTTCTGATTCAGGGGAAATTCAGGATGGAGCCCCTTGGGGAATCAACATGTATTGAGTGTCAAGCAGTAGCTCTACCTGCCAGACCCTCACAGGTGAGCGGCTGAAGAGGAAGAGCCAGGACAACCCGACCTCAACCCAGAGTTGTCCGAGAAGGTGGGTCCTGGTTTATGGGAATTCCCTCGTGTCCGCTTATTTTAGCATCTCCATTTTGCTAGCTCTGGTAGCATAGTGGATACCAATTGGGTTGCGAACCTCAGGGTCAGCAGTTCGAAACTACCAGCTGTTCCGCGGGAGAAAGATGAGGCTTTCTGCTCCTGTAAAGATTTACAGCCTCGGAAACCCCATGCAGGGTCGCTATGAGTCGGAACCGAGTCCACAGCACAGAACAACATTTTGTTAGTAAGAGTCCTCAGGGACACCTCAGGCCTGCGGCTGCTGCCCCTCTCCAGAGTGGCTAACCGATACCATCTGTGGGAACTCGGCTGCACCTGTGCTGGACAGGTGACATTCCACAGGTGACATTCCATCCTTTTTCAGGAAGATGTGACCTTTGATCAATGTTCTCAGGGGGTTGGGACAGCTGATGCAGGTGGGGATCAGGTAAGGCACAGGTAGGTGACAGACCGGGCCTTAGGGCATGGTCAGCTCTGTACCCCATCCTACCCACCCGCGCAGTGGCCCTGGCGACCCTTTCTTCTCCTTGGGCGTTGGCGCGGAAGTCCCTTTTTGAACGAGAAGAATGCTCCACACACCGGCCCGCCGCCCTCTACCGAACTTACGTCGTCCATGAGCATGAGCACTATGTTGGGGGGCTGCGGGGTACCCACGGCCCCCAGCCCCGCAATGCTCAGCACCAGCAGCAGCCGCCACCACCTTGTCTCTGCGGCAACCGCAGCCATGGCAACCACGCCTGGGGCAGGGAGCCACGGATAGCTTTCCGAACCCAGAGAACTGGAGGACCGCTCTTCCGGCAGGACCGGGGACGGGGCCATGGAGACGGGGCGGGATTCTGGCCAATCAAAGGAGTTCGGGGTGGGGCCACGGCCGCAAAGGACAAGAACTGGGTTTGCCGCGTGACAGAAGGGTGGGTCCTGGGCCAATCAAGTGACGGGAAGGCGGGGCCTGGGCCTGCCGCATGACTGATAGACTAGGTCACGTGACTGTGTCTCCGCGCCTCCTAAGATGGCGGTGTGTATCGCAGTAATCGCCAAGGAGGTGGGTATGGCGGGGCGAGGCGGGGTGGGGCAGGGCGCCGTTGTCTTTCCCCAGGACTGCGGGGGCTTGCGGGACTTGTGGTCCCCTTTCACGGACCCCATTTTCCTCGTCTCTGGTCCTGGCCCTGGAGGGTTCCTTAAGAAATGGGCCAGAGGAAGTCGTTGTCGAGCGGAGTCGCTCAGGGGACGTTTCTGGAGTGAAGGCTCTGAACCCCTTCCTTAGATCCCGACCCGCAGCCCCCTTCGGGTGTCTTAAGGCACCCGGCTTCCTACCCGTTCTCCGGTCCGCTACTCGGCCAAGAGTCCAGGACGGGCCATGATGCCCGCCGCCCCTCACCGGCCCGTCACGAAGTTCTGTGGACGTTTTCTCCTGAACACTTTCCTCTTCTCTCCATCCCCACCGCCTCAGCCTAGCCACCAACTGCCCAGTCCATCTGTCATCTCTCTTCCACTCTGCAGCCAGGGTGTGTTCTTCAAATACAGCAGATGGCGCCCTGCTCCCACCTAGAATATCGTCACTAGCCTCTCCGCCTGACGACGTCTGAGTAACCCCGTTTGTAGGGTCCCTGTGAAACTTAATGTTTGTTACATGTCCCTTCGCGAAACCACTTGTCCTTCTCCCAGCAGGTGCTGCCCCCTCTTCTCTAGACTTCTCTCATCATCGCTGGGGGGGTCTCTTCTCTGGCTGACATACACTTCATTTCCTCGAGAGATCTTTATCTGAATACTAAACTGAGCAAGTCTGCTCTCCCCTGGCCCCTAATCACAGAGTCGTTGACATCCCTACCAGGGTCACCAGGGTCACTGTCCCGGCTGTCCTTCCAACATGTGTCACTCAGTGCCATCCATCCCACAGTTTGGATACGATGTCCTGGTCACTGTTAGGTACTGGACAGACTGGTCATGAAGGGCTGTGGCGTGCCCCATGGACCCTGACTGCAAGGGAAGATATGATTTGGAGGGTTTAGTAAAGGGCATTCTGGGCACTTGTACAAAGTGGACTCACTTGGCAGCAGGTGACATATTAGGGAGCTGCAACTCTCTATAGCAGCAGGAGGAAGTTGTGCTGGGGCTGAACCCCACCTGATGTGAGAGGTGGGCTGGGGAGAGCAGACTCTGGACAGGTAAAGTGCCAGGTGCACGATGACACATTATTCTGGGGCTGAATTCAGTCTCATTTCTGAGACAGCTTCTCCTTTATGTCGTCCCTGTGGAAATCCCTTTGTTGACAATACCAGTCTCTGGTGTAGATTCGATTGGATACCCTGAAACTGATGCCCAAAGTGGTTTGGTGACTTAAAGATCCGTTTCAGAGAAAGCTTGCTCCAAGACACCAGTGCAGGGTGGGTGGTCTCCTTTGCTCTTCCTCGTGTCCACTGCAGCCCTCTGAGTGGGTTTTTGTCACCTCCTGTCTTGCAGAACTACCCCCTCTACATCCGCAGCGTCCCCACTGAAAACGAGCTGAAGTTTCACTATATGGTGCACACGTCGCTGGATGTTGTGGATGAGAAGATCTCAGCGCTGGGGAAGGCCCTCGTGGACCAGAGGGAGCTCTATCTGGGCCTGCTCTACCCCACTGAGGACCACAAGGTGTATCCTCTGGTGCTGGCCGGGGCCGGGGAGGCAGTAAAGCCGTGCTGTCTGTGAGCTGCAAGGCTTTATGTTGGGACTGAGACATGGAGTTGCAAGGCATGTTTTTGACTCAGATAATCTGGACATGCTTTTCGTAACATCCCTTGAAAAAAAGGTGAGGGTTCTCAGCTAACCAGGGAGTTAGAACGACTTGAGGCTTATTAAGGCCTCCCAGTCTTTTCCCTTCATTGGAATAATAATTCGGGAAGAGCGAGGCTTGGATGAGCTGGAGAAATGGATTAACTGGAGTACAGACACATCCCTTCGAGTCTGGGCAGGGGGTGGGCTTCTGCTGTTTTTCAGCAAGGCTTTCTTTCTGAGCTTTGTCAGCGGAGCCGCCACCCTTGAGCGGGGTGGAGGCTGTTAGTATAATTTATCTCTGTAGTTAGGTCCAGCCTCACAGCCGACTGTGGCACGTGACCAGTCCCGGAGGCCTTGGGAGTTCACAGTTTGAGTGGTCCTGTAGCCCATAATTATCTGGAACTCTGAGATCTGCTGGTTTACAAAGAAGTCTGTAGAGAGCGGGGGGCTTTCAGCAGATGTCTCCGTATAGGTGAAACCACAAGCTTTGCAGTTAACCCCCTGGGACAGGATCAATTCAAGGGAGACAAGGCACACACAGGCCAATTCAGGTAGGGTTTGCAGTTTGCCCCAGAAAGTGACCCAGACCACAGCTGGCCTGTGACACCTTCTGTGATTTCACAGTTGTCACGTTTCCAACTTGACTTTGCCGTGGTGCCACTGTGGGACCCACCTGGTGGTTGTGCGACTCGTTTGTTGTCCCAGCAGCACCTGTATCTAAAGCATGCTCCCTAACCAGATGCTCAGCTATGGCTACGTGACCAACTCCAAGGTGAAGTTCGTGATGGTGGTAGATTCTTCCAACACGGCGCTACGGGACAACGAGATCCGCAGCGTGAGTGCCGCACTGGGTGACCTCCTGCAGGGGCTCTCTTAGCAATACCGTGGGTTTTCATTTAAAACTCCGGGCCAGGCCAGATGTTCCTGGTGCACACACAGACGCAGGTTCTGGGGGAGTTGGTCCCCTCTAGTTTGAGTTGGGTGGGGCTTGCTGCCTGCCGGGTGTGGGAGTACAATCCATCATTAGTCTTATTTCCTCTTCTACTAGTTTCTTTTCATTGTGAATTGGGTGAAGGTTTAGAGAGCAAATCAGCTCATTTTATGTCATTGATTGCCATCCCCTCCCAGAAACACACATTGACATCACTCATGCCACGTCCTCCCTGTGTTTCCTGTTTCTGTTCCCCCTTCCCCCCTAACCTTTGTGAACTCTGTCCTTGGGCAGATGCTGCTCTTTTGATCCGGAATGGTTGATAAGTCTGCGGAGGAGTCCGAGCCTCCCTAGTGTTACTGCTCGCTGTACAAGCCCGTCTGTCTGTTTGTCTGTCTGTCTGTCTGTCTGAGAATCGAGCCGCGGCCTAAGGAGCCAGGCCCACAGTCTCGGGAGCCCACCCGTCTCTGTCCCACCAGTCAGCCTCACCTTCTGTTTTAGTTTTCTTTTTCATGATTTTGAGTTTTGTCCTACATTTCTCTCCCACTCTGTCCAGGACCTCCTAATGTGATCCCTTTCAGAGCTGGTCAGGTCTAGTTGTGGTCTCAGGGTTATGAGGTTGAGGTTCTGCTGGCCCATTATGTCCTTTGGGATAATTGTCTCTTCGATTTTCTCCACACTTCGCTCTTTGTGTTGTGTGCTAACCCTAACCCCATGGGCAGTTCTTCTGTCTACAGGGTCGTTAGGTGTCGGAATTGACTCGACAATACGAGGTCTTTGGGTGACTGTTTTAGGTGTCCAGAAGTGCATACGTGTGAATGAAAAGCGTTGTTGGGTCTCTTCCCAGATGTTCCGGAAGCTGCATAATTCCTACACAGATGTCATGTGCAACCCCTTCTACAATCCCGGGGACCGCATTCACTCGAGGTGGGCAGCTGGAGGGGGTGGTGTGGGTGGAGCCGCCTCCACAAATCCCAGGGGTACAAGTCCTCCTGTCACTGACCCGTCTGTCCACGTGGCCTTAGACCGTGGCTGCTAGGGTGTGGCATTGCAGGCATCTTCTCAGTAGCCTTCAGATGAGCCCAGACTGGCCAGTGGTCCCTTACCGCCTGCCCACTCCTCCTCACAGGGCCTTTGACAACATGGTGACAGCCATGATGATCCAGGTCTGCTGAGCAAGGTCACACCGCTGCTGGCCAGCAGCACGCTGTACACATTGTATCATGAGACGCGTGGGAGTCACTAAAGGTCGTGTGAAGTCAGACTTGGTGTTTTCCTTCCACGTCAGTAGAGGGATGGGGACAGAGGCAGGGGAACACACTGTAGGAAGTCACTTGCCTTGGTGGGCATGCCCACACGAGGGCTGCAGGCAGCTGGAGGGGGGACATGTAGGGGCAGGGGGCGTACACAGGCAGCCTCGCCCTACCCTGGGTGGAAGAGTCTGTGACTTCGGCCTCCTGAGCCAGATTTAGTGGTTTGCAGAGAGGTGATTGTGCACCGTCCCATGCTGGGTGAGGCCTTGCTTATCTGAGGGTTCGTCTGCTCCTGATCTAGCTGCCCCAGCCCTTCTGCATAGACCCTGCCTGGCCGTAGACTTGCCACACCATACCACTGTGCCATTGGCTGCCACCTTCACTGGCTTCCTGAGCAGAGCTGGGCAGGACTGAAGGACCCCCTTCCTGAGCCCTAGACGGACTGGGCACCATAGCTGTGCTTTCGCCCCTGGGCAGAGGTGCAAACCAGCTGTTACAACCAAGTGTCTTCATTCTGCACCCCCAGAAGTCAGTCAGCTCAGCCATGAGTCAGCTGCCCTTGTCAGGGTTGGCCAGCCCAGATTCTCACTCTCTTGGTGTCTCCTGTCCCCCTCGGGTGTCCCCCTATAGAACTTGGCACGAGGTGCGTGGGACCCTTGTACACAAGGACCAGGGTCTGAGGCGCCTGTGTGGGCTGGCTTGTAGCCGCATCAGCAAGTCTCTGTGTCTTTCCCTGTGTGTCCTTGCCCCTTCTGAGGACTGTTAGTAGGCTTGGTGCCCACTGAGCCATCAGGATACGCCCTCTCAAGATCTCTCACTTAGTGACATGTGCAGAGTCCCTTGTTTCCTCCCAGTAAGGGTACACCCGGGGGTGGCAGGGCTCAGGATGTGGATGCACATTGGCAGGTGGCGGGGGTTCTGAAGCACTGTTCAACCTGCCCCAAGGATCAACACTGACCCAAAGTCACAGGAGAGCCAGTGTTGGCCTCACATGGCCACCTGAGGACATCAGAGACAAACGTGGATGGAGAACAAGTGAGATGTCCCCAACCCCAGAGAATGGCTGTGCTGGCCCAGACTGATGCCCGAGCACAGCGCAGCCTGTCCAGGCCTAAGGAGTGAATGAAAGCGTGCCCAGGGTGCCCCAGAAAAGCCCAGATAACAGATATCCCAAGTGTTGGCATTAGGCAGCCTTCTGACCAGGGGGCAGGGGACAGCTTAGCCGTGACACTGGGGCTATGGGTGAGGCCCCGAGGCCAGCAGACTGCTGCTGCCCCAGCCATCTGGGGCCTGTACATGGCCCTAGCTCCCACCATTGGCTGTCCGTAGGTGAGTGTGTAGGACCCACAGCCACCTCTACTGGCACCTCGGTCCCTGGAGTCCACACTCCAGAAGGACACAATGACGCATGTCTAGGATTGAGGAACATGAGGGAGACCTGGCATCACATGCTTTAAAAAGGGTTCAAATTTAATAACTGATGCTTTATCATTAAGACACACACATATGTATATTTTCTTAAAAACTAACCCTCCCCACCGAAGAGCTTGGTATATTTCCCATCCAGCCCCAGTTGTGAGGTGGTCTGTGTGGCCCAGCCACAGTGGGAAGCTGTCCTAGCCCCTGATGGAGCGGCAGTCCTTGGGAAGTCCCGGTCTACAC